GAGTGAGACGACGATGACGGCGGCGGCGAAGAGGGTGGGGTGTGCGACGATAATGGCGAGGACGTCTGTGGCGAGGGCAGCGGTGACGATGGTGGCGGGTTCGCAAGAGGAGGTCTCTGGGATGGCGGAGATCGTGACGTCGGTGTTGGAAGGGGCGGAGAGGGCGGCGGCAAGGGCGGTGGCGGTGGGGAGGGTGGCCGGTGGAGAGAAGAATCGGGATGAGCGATGGTGAAGGCATGGAGGAAGTACGCGAGAGAGATCGGCGGAAGTGGAGGTGTGGGTTGCCGCTACGTTCTTAAGATAGCGACAGTGATTTAGTGCTGATAACGGGACTGCGATACGTGTGCGCGTGGTGTGTAGGCGTGTATGCTCAGGCCTGTCAGCGCAGCGCGGCGTTTGAGTGAGGTGGGGCGGGATGGCGAGGAGAGAGATAGTGTCAGTAGCGGAGGAGGGTGTTGGGAGGCCGTCTGGGTCTAGCTCGGCGCTGCCGTCGGTCGCGAGGTCAGTGACGTAAGTTGAAGAAATCTCGGGGACGGTGGGGTCCGACATGATTATCATTGGGTGATGAATGACGGAGGAGATGCGGGTTTCGGAGGGTATGGATTCACTAGTCGTTGGAGATAGCCGAATGATCACGCGAGCGTGCAGGCGAACAGGGTAAGGGAGGCACCTTTGCGACGCCGCGAATCCAGTCGATCTGCGCACACGGCGGTAGAGCGAGGGTCGAGTCGATCGGCGTCCAGATGTCGTGCTGCAGGTACTGAAACGGCGCCTCCGGGTCGCAGCGGCTCTTGTAGTGCGCGTCGCGTACCAGTGGCGTGACGTTCTGAAGTCGGCGTAGCTGGAGCTTGATTGCTTCGGCGGATCGGCTACTCACGCGAATGTCAGTGATCTTCGCGCCGTTCTGGTACGAGTGCAACAGGAGGCGGTCCTCCTCGATCGTCCACGGTGTGAAGTTTGAGTTCATCGGCACTTTCTTACGCGCGTGCAGGTTCACGAGAGCGTCCTCGACCCACGGCTGCAGGCTGACCTCGGTGCTGTTCAGCTGCGTCTCGCTCATTTCTTGCTCCTCGCACCTTCCGCACATCAGTAAGGAAAGCTCGTCGATGCCGGCGAGACCTTTCAGCACATTATGCCACCGAAGCTGAACTGCACGCGACTTTTTTGCAGGTGGTGGAAATGGCCACTGCTGTGCCACCTTGGGCAATGAGATTTTGTCGCGGACATGGCGTAATAGCACGTAAGCGTCCATCTCAGGGCGCCACGGGCTGGCGCTGTGCTTCGATCGGCCGGATGCGTGGACGGCCATGAGGCTGCAACGCAGAGCATCGGGAAGAGGTGAGATGTAGTCTTCTTGCACCACTGGGTCGGACGAGAAGGGACCGCCGTTCATGGCAGCGAGAGCGTAGAGGAGCAACCTGTGCATCGCCAGCACAGAGCCAGCACGCGCCTCGAATCGGTCAGGGGATCGTGGCGGCGATCGCTGGACACGTCCCTCGACGGCGAACTCGAGACCCATTGACCCTTTTGGAAAAATGCTCTCCAGAAGACTTGAGTTGTAAAAAGCGAACAAAAACATTGAATAATTGTGTTTCACAGGGGTGCTGTACATATGGCGCAGGTTGGGGCTCGTACAGTACGACCCACTTCCATGGCAAGTGTCTTTCCGTATCGGTGAAGGTCACGAGTGAGGTTCCACCCAAGGCGATACAGAAGCTCAACCTGTGGGCAATGACGAGCTTTCCAAATTCTTGTGCTGACAGTGAAGAACGCTATCTCATCCAAAAAAAGGTTTGACCCACACAAATCACAGTAGTCATGGCGTACTTGAGCACTGGAGCACTGGATAGGGTCGATTCCGCATGGTTGGTACGGTGGGCGGCGGAGAAGAAGCCTGGCGCTGGTAAATCGGGCGACTGGCGCGACTACAAGTGCCAGCTCGCAACCGACTCGACCATCGCGCTGTGGGTCTCGGTGGTGGCGCGCGGGGCCGTCGCCCTCGACCTATTGTGCGCTCGCCGCAGGGAAGTGCCGCGAGCGTTGTCGCTTCACGCTCACCGCTGTGAACAGGCACTTTAACCATCTTTGGCCGTGGCCCGTGACGGGGCGCCTTTTTGGCGCGAGCGCGGTTCTCGAGACGCGCAACTTGCTGGCGATGCACTTGTTTGGTCGAACGGCCACCGATGCGGCGTGGTGGCTCCAGCTTCACCGCCTCACCTCAGCCCCGTCGTGCCTTGGCCAGCCGTACAGCTGCGTGCCTGCGAACGTGCAGGGCAGCACGGGGGACGAGCAAGCTTGCGTGCAGAGCGGAAATTCGCGCGACGCATTCTCGGCGGCGATGCTCGCGGAGCATGCGAGTAGCGTCGCTGAGGTCGCTTCTCGCGGCTCGCGGGTTTTCCCTTGCCCCAAGTGCGCGGGCATGGCGCGCGGAGAGCATCTCGCGATGCTGTGGCGAGCGTCGGCAAGGAAGCTGGAGCACGACAACGCCGCCGACCCACTCGGCTACCCGCTCACTGTCCCACGACTCCGCTGCTACCACACGCGTCCCTCATCGCCGGGCGTCGTCGGCGGCGCGGCCGCGGCGCTGCTCGCTGACTGGTCGCGAAGAGGGATGGCGGTGGCTGAACAGGGCGAGGCGCTCGAGGAGGGGCGCGCCCTCTTCAGCTGGCCTGACCCCAGGGGCGAGTCGGCGCCGGCCGCCGACTGGCTCTACTGCAGCGTCGACTGCATGCCCTCTCGGCGGTATTGCCAGCGGCCGTTCGGGGTCGAGTCGAACTTTTCACTGGACACTGCGGTGGAGGGGACCGCGGTGTCGGTGCGGCGGTGAAAAAATAAATGTGACTGCACTGACTCAACGAAATGTGTCACAGTTTGTCATATTCCATAGACGGACTTTTTTTCTCAAACAACAAAACAACACACAAACATCGCCATTCGTCGATAATATCGCGGGGGTTGATCGCGGAATCGCACCCGAGCTCTAGGCCCAGATTGCGAGGACACCGAAGAGAGCCGCGCCTGCCGCGATCGCCGAGACTTTGAGCAGGCGGTGCGCCAGCGAGGGCGGCCTCTCCGGCGCCAGCGCGCAGCCGGGCGAGCATCGGTCGCTCTCTGCGGCGCCCGGCCTCTCCTCCCGTACAAGGGGCGCGAGGTCGGCGCAGCTGTGCGCGTGCGAGCCGGTGAGCTCGTGGTTCACCATCTCTACGCCGATCTGCGTGAGCATCCCCGCGGCGAAGGCGTTGAGCAGCCCAGACACCCAGAGGTACGACGAGCTCGTCTCGAAGCCGCGCGCCGCCGCCTTGGCGGCGACCGCGCTGGCGCAGCCGAGCGGGAGGGAGAGAGTGAAGATGAGGCAGGTGAGCCGCCGGCCGGTCTGGGACAGCTGCGTGCGGCGCGCGAGCATGCCGAGCGCGAAGCCCTCAAAGAACTGATGCACCGACATGGCCATCGCCAGGACGAGCAGCTCGGTCCAGCCCGACTGCGCAAAGCCGATCCCGAGGCCTATCAGGACAGAGTGGAGCGAGATGGAGGCCTCGAGAGCGTAGAAGCTGGCGAGCGTGCTCCCGCCATCGAACTGGCTGGTCGGAAGCAGAGGAGTGCGTGTCGACTGGCCGAAAAGGCACGGGATGAAGGCCTGAGTCGCCGCCATCACCAGGAAGCCTACGAGAGCTCCGGCGTTGGCGGCTGGATACTCGCTCAGCTTTCCGAGCCGCTCCTGCGCGTCGTCGAGGAGGTGTAGCAGCGCCACAGACAGGATCACACCGGCCGAAAAGTTGGCGAGCAGGTCCGTCGTCAGGCTTGTGCTGAGATTGGCGCGAGCGGGAAGGCAGACGCCGAGCGCACTCGTGACGGCGAGCCAGAGCATCACGCCGCCGTACATGGCGGGAGGAGCCACCGCCATCCTGCGTCAGAGATCGATTGGTGTTTCGTTTGGGCTTGCATGTGCCACCGCAAGATCATTCGCGATCGTGTCACAGCGGGTGCGCCAGGCATGCTGCCTTCTTGCTGGTCCGAAAAGAATTCTAGGAAGTCTCACGAAAAGAAATACGTGCCGGAGAAAACATCCCAGCGAGAAAAACAAAAAACAGCTTTTCTTGCTTTTGCCGCCTCGTTTCACGTTTCGCAGGCCGCGCCACCGGCGGGCGGGGGCGGGGGCGCGGCGGCGGCGGCGGCGGCGGCGGCGGCGTCTCCATCGGGCGGACGCGCGGCACGCTCGACGCGCGGCAAAACACCGTGACTTAGGACACGCTGCTCACCTGGGCCGCTCGTCACGGGCAGGCCGAGGCGGCGCGGCTACTGGTCTGCTCGCAACCCACCTCAAGGTTACCCGCTCTACACACACACTTGAGAGCAGCGTTCGTCTCGCTGGGTTCGGACTCCTTTGCGGGGCCAAGGCCCGTCGCAAGTGTCGTAAAAGGGAAAAGGACGGCAGCCGCCGCGTGGACAGTCGCGTGGACAGTCGAGCGAGCGAGCGTGGCCAGGCAGGATAGCCGTTGTTGACCAATTTTAAATGCCACCAAGGAAAAAGGGCAAGGTCACAAGTGCTGCTGTCGATCATAGTGAACGCCTGAAGGAGCTATTGAGCGAGTGCCGCTGCGCTCGTCCCAACCGTCCGAAGATAGAGAAGCTGTTGGATTTGCTGCCACCCGACACGGATGCATTGCGCCAGGCCATGTTTGCCGCTGTTCGTCAACAGCGTGCCGATGTTCTGGAGTGGGTGCTCAAGCGAGGTGCGGATGCGAACGTGAGCGAGGACGATACAGCATCTGCCTGGCGCGCGCTGCCGATAGCGATCGGCAACACTTGCTGCCCTTGCGTATCTTTACTTCTCGCGCACGGAGCAAAACTCGCGCAGCGGGACGTCAACCAAGCCGTGCACGGCCTCCACGATTCGGGCATCCACAGCTTATCGAATGAGCTGATTCTGCAGGTGATCGAAAAGGCTTGGGCGGGCGAGCGCGTCGGCGCGGACGCTGGCGTCGTCGCTTTCAATGATCAGAAGGCGCACATGCCCGAAGGCGTGCCTGCCCGCGCGACAATGTGGCGGCATCTGCACAAGGAGTGCGGAGAGAAGTACTGCCCGGTTCGCCGGGCCGAGGAGCGGGAGGCCAAGTGGGACGCGGAGAGGGCGGCGGAGCGGGCCGACGGGCTAGAGAGAGAGCCCTAGCCCTAAAAGGTGCGCGTTCGTAGGGAAAGGGCCATAACGTATTTCCCCTAGCAGCAGAACGCCCCCTCTAGTCGGAGCTACTCGTAAACGCTCGACACGAACACACGACGCTAATCAAATTGCTGTCGTCCACGCGGCGGCGGACGGACTGCCACAGATGGCCGCCCTGCTGCCTTCGTCGTTCTCAAGCGCGGCAGTCGCCGCCTGCCTGACGTGCGTTGCGTTGGTAGTGATTCACCACATGCGGCATCGCCAAAAGGCGATCCGTTCTGCTTCGGATGACCAGCATCGCCCCATTTATCGCGCCGCGGCTGGCGACGCAGCTGCCTTGAGCTTGGATGATGATGGCAGTGCGGGCATAGAGGGGGTGACGCCGCCACCGCAGAGGAAGGGCACCGAAGGGTCAGGGGAATCGCATCGGACGACTCGGGACGGCGAGTTGAGCAGCGCCAGCGGCAAGTCGTCGCGGCAGACCCGTTTCACCTTTCTGCGGCGAAGGGCAACGAAGCCTCGCAAGGTTGTCGCCATCGCGGAGGAGCCTGCCGAGGAGGTTCCTGGGCGATCGGAGACACCAGGCCAGGTTCGCTCCGGCCGGGTGCGCAGCGCTTGGCCGCTGCGCGTGGGTCGCGAGGGCCGCCAGGGCCAGCAGTGGTATAAGCCGCATGACTTTGACCGCGCAGAGGCATCGGTGCGGAAGGGCGAGATGGCGGCAGCCAAGCGGAAGAGGTTCGTCAACCGGGCTCAACGCGGCCGGGGCAAGCCGGCCGGCGCGAATGCAAACGCGGACACGTATTTGTACCCCTTTGATTGGGAAGCCTATGATGCCGGCGAGGCGGGTTCAGCGGTGCAGGCGGAGGAGGACGCGCCCGATTCGCCCGAGGCTGCGAGCCCCGATGCTGGGACCGCGGCCTCGTCGGGCGAGGATGTCCAAGTAGAGGGGAGTCGCGGACAGGGCCCTCCCGTCCGGCGCCGGTGGTGCCTTTGTTTTTCTTGAATTTCTTGAAGCGGCGTCTTGTCGGGTTGGGCCTTGGGGTTTCAACGCCGACAGTGATCATTCAAGCGTCTCGCGCACGTGTGCGTGGCCGCTGGCCGCGGCAGACGGATGAGCAAAACAACAAGTGCATGCACATGCAGCGGAAAACACAACGCATAATAGTAGCTACTCTCGCATGCAAACCACGCAATACGCCTACGACCAGTGTATACACTCATGCAGGTCCGTTTTTTGTGAAGGTGTCCACCTCACTTCACTTCGCAAAGAACGACTCTGGGCAGCCCGGTGACGAGAATAGCGTCGGGAACCCCTTCGGCGACGTCATGCTGTCAATCTCCTTCATCTCGGCCGCCGAGAGCTTGTAGCTAAAGGCATTGGCGGACGAACGCAGCCCGTCAGCGCACGCGCTCGTCGTCGGGTCGCACGCGCTGAAGCCCTTGCGGAAGTCCGTGGTGGGGCGCACGCTCGCGGCCGCGCCACTCTGCAGCACCCAGCGCAGCGCGACCTCCTCCGCGGTCCTGCCGTGCGCCGCGCCGATTCGACGGAGCGTCGGGCTCGACAGTAGCTCGTCCGTGTCGTCGGTGGGATTGGCGCGCTCGCCGACGTGCCCATAGGCGAAGGTGCGGATGCCGCGAGACTCGCCAAAGGCGCGGAGGCTGCCCGAGTCAGGGCCCATGCCGGCGTGCATTTGGAAGTAGTTGATCGCCGGCAGCTCGTTGGCGGTGGCGAGGAGACAGCTGAGCGCGCCCTCGCAGTAGTTGATCACCCCGAGCGAGCGCGCGCGCCCGTCCGCCTTGGCCTTCTCCATCTCGGCCCACATGGCTTGCATCACCGCCGGGTCTGTGCTATCTCTCAGCATAAGCATATCGACATAGTCGGTACCGAGGATGGCGAGGTTCTCGTCGAGAAACTTCGGAACGGACGCTGCGGCTTCGCTCGGCGAGGACCATCCCTTTGCCCAGTTCGTGGGGATCTTTGTGTTGAGGAAGACGCTCTTCCGATCGACTTGAGGCAGTACGCGAGCAACACCGTTTCTCTCGATCCCCGGGTGGAAGTCGGCGTGGGTGATCCCGGCAGCAATCGCGTTCCTGAAGGCGAGCTCCGCGCCGTCCTCGGTCAGCCCGGCCGTGTTGAGCGCGAGCGTCGGGAAGGCGACTCCACCCGAGAGCTTCCAGGTCGGGACTTTGGTGGTCGTTGCTGCAAGCACTGCCGAGGCCGGTGGGCCAGCCAGCGCTGCGGCGCCAGTGCCGAGTAGAGCCGAGCGTCGGTCGCAGCGCAGCTGCAGGCTGGCCAGTGAGGTGAGAAGCAGGTGAACGCTCATGAGGGAGGCTCAGAATGTCCCAGCTCGGCCTTCTGCGTCGTCGAGAGGCCCTGCGTGCGCACGGAGCGAGGGCGAGCCGTCAAGCTGCCCCTTTGCCGCGAGGTGAGCTTGGTGCCTTTTCGGCATTCGGGTGCGCAAAGAATTTCGCGGGCAGGCTAGGGCGGCGGGGGCCTCCCTAGGTGTAGGGTCCTAATTTTACCGAGAGTCCACTCGCACACGAGAAACGCCCGCGCACACGGGCACGGGACTGGCGCGCACTCTGGCACTATATTAGACTATAACACAGGTACACAAAAAAATTACAAATTTTCGAAGCATCGGTTAAGCCGCCGGGCTTCCTCCTGTTCCTCTATGACTGGGCGCGGCCCCGCCTCCGCTCAGCAGCAGCCGCGCGAGCCGCGCCTCCACACTGGCGTTGGACGAGACGACGGCGCAAGCGAACTCCCACACGGGCGCCAGCTGGTGGAAGAACTCGTCGAATCCGATGGCGCCGGACCGGTCGCCGTCCACCTCGGCGAGGCACGCGGCGGCGTCGGAGCGCGGCAGCCCCCACGAGACGAGCAGCTCGCCGAGCTCCGCCTTGGAGATGGTCCCGTCCCCCGACGTGTCGAGCTTGTCGAAGACGAGCCTGCTCGCGGCGGCAGGAGTGAAGAGACGCCGCTCACGGCCCGTCTCGCGGGAGCTCGTCGAGCGGAGGTAAGCCTCGCGCGCTCGCGCGGAGAGAGGGACCGTTCCGCCGCCGCGAGGGCGGGCGCGACGACGAGGCCCTCGGGCGTGACAAAGTGGCGCGGCAGCAGGGCGGCGTTGGAGAAGCCGCTCGCCGAGTAGACGTCTTGCGTCGCGCGAGACGCCTTCTTCCGCACAGCGGGAGGGGTGGGCGACCGGGGGGAGGGCGAGGGGCGCGCGGTGCCGGCTGCCCGCCTCGTCGGCGGCGGCGAGGAAGGCGAGGTTGAAGACGACGATGGCGCAGACGCAAAAGGCGAAGGAGGCCCAGCCGAGGGCGGCGGGCATGGCGATGGCGAGGCCGATCAGGATGGAGAGCGTGTAGCGCGCGGAGGCGAGCAGGTTGAAGCGCGTGAGGAGGGCGAAGACCAGCCGGTTCATCGCATAGACGTGGAGGACGAGCCAGTAGGAGAGGAAGTCGTGCTCGAGCCTCGCGTCGGTGGCGGTCAGCAGCTTGCCGAGCGAGTACGCGTAGGCCGAGGTGGCGTACAGGAAGCCGGGGATCATGATCCGCACCGCGCCAAAGGCCGAGGTGAGGAGGTACAGGGCGCCCGGCACGTGCAAGCCGAAGCCAACCGCGGCAAGGGCGACGCAGACGGCGCGAGCGGCGGCCGGGCCGCCACCGTACAGCGCCGCGAAGAAGGCGGGGCCGCCGAGGCACTGCAGCGAGCCCGAGAGCAAGTGCGCCCGCATCACCCGCCGGCGGGACTTGACGACGACAAACTTTGGGTGGACCGGCATCAGCCAGTGGGTGGCGATGACGCCAAAGTCGAGCATAAGGCAGATGGCCGCGAGGACGCGGCGCTGCCAGCGGAGCGAGTCGGTGAGAGCGGCCGGCTCATCGCACATCTCTGCGCACAGGCTGAGCGGGCACCAGAAGGAGCCGACCACGACGCCGTGAGCGAGGAGCGTGTGGACGAGGATGGAGAAGGCGGCGGCGACGACGCAGGCCGTCCGCGCTCCTCTCAGCTGGATGAAGGCGCGAGACTCGGTGTCATTGGTGCGGAGTTCACCGCCACGACTCACCAAGGGCGCGGAAGAAGTGCCACGGGCCAGCGACGCCGCCCTGATTGCCGCTGCCCGCGTCGAGAGCGGCGGAGGGTGAGAGGCGGAGGACGCGGCGCTGTTCATTCAGAATGGAATGTGGAGACCCTTGTTCGACTCCACATGGAGAGAGCCGGCGCGGCTGTCTGATGCCCCAGCCACTCCGCTGTGAACACCGAGGGCCCTCGGTCTTGCGGAGCTGCTCGGTGAAACCTTAGCACAGCGGCGCCCGGAGCATTTGGGTGAGTAGGTAAGGAGAGTTGGAGTATTTTCTTACTTCTACTTCGCGGAGCCAACCCGCACGCCGACCCACCCTGTCTCTGAGCGTAGCGGGATCGCCGGCTTGGTCGCCCTGCCCACCGCTGCCAGCCGTGATTGCGTCCCTCCCTTTTGTCCCTTTTGCTGCCCCTGTTTGCTCCCTTTTCCCTCGCCGCGTAAATACTTGCGCCCCTTTTGAAAACTTTTCATTTGTTTCTTTAAACCTTTTTTTCTTTGAGGGTGTCGCTCCGAGAACGCTCGTCTCGCAGCTGCGAGAAGGTATGTATGTAACTAGTGAGACGATTTAGGTTTGGGGAGGGCGCGAGTTGAGACTTTTCGGCGGTCGAAATGCGGCCCGGTCTGGATGCGTCCTCTTTGGAACGACCTGTGGGACGACCTGTGGCAGCGATCGATGCCGTCGCCGGACGCGGCGGCGAGGCACACGGGCGCCGGCGTGGCGCGTCGGCAGGTCCACCACGAACGAGCGGATGCGCGACGAGCGCGCTCGGGAAGCGGCCGCGGGCGACGCGGAGCTTCCGCCGGAGGACGACGCGGTCGAGATGGAGAGCGCCGCCAAACTGCTGGACAGCGTGGCGGAGGTAACACTGAAAAACCTCAGACTATAGTCCAGAAGAAATTGTTGAGAGAAAGTTAGAAATCAAACTCCGAAGGCACGCCTCATCTCGATGTGTATATGCCTGCTGCGGCAATCGACGCCGTCGCCACCGTTGCTGCTGGCCTGTTTTACACGCAGTCTCTGCTGCCGCTCTGGCTCTTCAACCTCCGCGTCAATGGCCGGTGGGACGGGCTCGTCCTCATCTTTTCGACCGACGAGACCGCCGCCAGAAGAGCCGTCGCGGAGAGTACATTTTCGGCCAATCGGACCACTGTTGTCCGCCTCACCACCGTATCATCCCGCCGCCACCAGCCCAGACGCCAGCAGGAGTACGTCAGCCTCAAGACGCGCATCTTCGACATGGTGCCCGCGGAGTTCGACTGGGTCGAGCGGCTCCTCGTGCTCGACACGGACATAATGGCCACCCGCCGTTTGCGTGCATTCCTCAGCGGCGTGGCGGGCGGAGTGATGGAGGTGGCGTGGCCGCGGAGCGGGCGGTGCGACCCGCGGGTGTCTTCAATCACCAAGCACCAAGCACCGACACCACCCACTCCCTCTTCACTCGCGCACTCCTGCCGCTCTCCCTCGTCCCTGCTCTCTCTCTCCATCTCTCACCCACCTCCACACCCACCCGCGCACAGGTGGAGGTGGTGGTGCCCGCCGAGCGGCCCACCCTCCAGGTCGCACGATGGCTGCGTGGCCCCTTTGCCCTCGGCTCGCCCTCCAACGCCTGGGGCGACCGGATAGCGACGCACCTCAACACGGCCGTCCAGCTGCAGCACCGGCGCTGCAGCGCGCGCTGTCTGGCGAGATGGGCATCCGCCAGTGCGAGCCCCTTCTCACAGGAGGACCATCCAGGACGGGGGCTGTGGCAGGCGTCTCCTCACGTCCATTCGCCGGCGTTGCCAACAGGTGAGCTCTTCAGCTCGGACCAAGACGGGCTGAACGCACTCTCCCTCACCCGCCAGTGCACGGCGCCTTCCCTATCGACGCGCCGATGAGCCGTCCAACTTGCCATGACGTGTTTTGGTCGGGGCACAACAGGTGCATGCGCTCGACGATCGCTCTCAGCTCTACGCCTGCCTCGGGGCTTGGTCGACCCTCTCCCAACGCGGCGCCGCCGCCAGCGCCGCGTTCTGGTTCCTATCATCGCTCTCCGGTCTCCGCCCACCCCCCTCCTGATTCTGTACGCTGCCGACACGAGTGCTGCTCGTAGGCACCTCCGCTCCGCTCGGCACGGGGCGCCCGCCGAGTCGTTTCTCATCGCCCACGCTCTCGCGCGAGCAGCATCCACGGAGCAGCACGTCGCAGTACCGGCCCGCTGCGTCGACGCGGCTGCCCGGCTGGAGTGGGCCGCAGCCGCCTTCGGCCTCGGCAGCGCTCTGTGGGCGGTCGGTGTGTTCGGCGCTGCCATCTGTGTCTGCTCCGCCGCGACGAGGCGCCGCCGCAGAACTCTCGGTGAGTGAGCGCGGCATCTTTGCGCCCACCATCGCCGTTGGCATCGGCTTTGGACGTTCCTCTGCCGCAACGTCATCTATCCGTGGCACCTCGGAAGTGAGCATGTGCTCACCGCGCACGAGCCTCTTGTCGCCGTCCTCTCAGCGACCGCATACTTTGCGGGCGTGAAGCACAGCCCAATGACGGCTTTCGCGGTGATGGCGGGCCTCTTCTCCACCACCTCGTCCGTTGTCACCGCCATGCTCGTTGCCGCCGTCCTCGGCTGGCGCGTGACCCCATCGCGAGCCCATCCGCTTGCTCGCGGGCGATACCGGTAAGTAGGCGCATGTCCCGTAGGCTCAGCTCGCGCTTGTTCGCACCGCGACCGCTCTACGGCGCGCTCTCCGCGAAGCTCCCCCCGCCGCTGCCGCCCGAGTCGCTCGAGTGTGACCCGCAGGCGCTGCCGCCCCCACACTATGTGCCGAGGGGTGTAAGCGCGCGTCGCGCCCACTTTGTCGAAGTGTCGGAACGGCTTCCGAGCGCCCCAGCAGGCGGTCGCGGGCCCCGGCGTTGCACTGATATTGTGACGAGTGAGTCAGAGCTGTCACGCGCATGCGTTTCACATAGACCCGTTGTTGAGAAGAAAATACGTCGTGCCTATGGCGCTGCGCGCTGGTTCACACAAAAAACAAACCGGGCCCAGTGTCACACAGTCACACACACGTCACGACACACGGACCCACAGAGAGGCAGAGACTCACCAGAGAGCAGAGTCGAGGACGGACAGCCATTAGCGACGTCAGCATGCGCGAGTGTACGTGTACGTGTTGTGTGTGAATGCGTGCGATCTCGCCCGTTTGGAGACTTTGCATTCACTTCCTCAAGTTCCGGTTCCGAGGCGTGCGTGCGTCCGTCCTGCGGAGGACCTGTTTGCGCTATGAGCAGCACTCAGAGGTGGACACCAAGACGCGGAGGGCACAGACAAATGTCAACGCGGAGGGCACAGACACGGGCTTCAGCAAACGGAGACGTCATCGATGGGCTCACTGTCGCGGAGCTCACTGCGGAGATTGCGCTCCTCGCTACACTGCGGCAGCAGCTGCACACGCGGCGCTTTGAGTCTGAGAATGGCAGCACGCCTGCGGTAGCCGGTCGCGCGGCGCTTGGACGGTCGCAGCGGCTGCTCGCCGGGCATGCCGGCGAGGTTCTCGACCTTGTGAGCTGCGATGGCGATGCGATCCTGGGGAACGCCCGCAGCCTCGCTCTTGAGCTCCAAGCGCTTGGTGCTGCTGCCGGCGAGCGAGTGCAGCCATACAATGTGGACGAGCCCTCGTCAGCGCCTCGGCACGGGAACGATCCTCCCGCACGTGCGGAGAACCAGGATGACTCGCGACCGTCCGCGGCGGATCCATGCAGTGGCAACACCGTTCTCGGCATCCCTGTCACCGCGCCTGAACCGCCCGTGCCAGCTACACAGCATGCCCTGCTCCCACCGCCCGTGGCACAGCCGCCGCCGTTGCATCCGCCACCGCTAGCACCGGCGTCTATAAAGGCTGCTTCTCTCCAGCCGCCACCGCTTTCGGCGATCGCTCCGCCGCCGCCGCCGCCACCGCCGCCGCCGCCGCCGCCGCCGCCGCCGCCGCCGCCCCCCTCCCGCTGCTCATCCCTCGAGACCGAGCCTACCGCAGCCCAGCTCAAGCTCAAGCCTCTTCATTGGAAGAAGATTGCCCCCGGCAGCATCAGCACGGCCTCACTCTGGGCGTCGCTCGACGAGGTCCCACTCGGCGCGGAGCCCCTCGAGCGCCTGTGCCACTGGTTTGAGTATCGAGAGGCGAGGGCGATCACGCCGCGCTCTGCGGCTATGAGCGGTTCGTCTGCCTGCGTCGAGATCCTGACGACCAAACGCAAGCAGAACATCGAGATTGTGATCGCGGGGCTGGCAGCGGGGGCGCAGGAGCTCTCGGACGCCGTCGCCTCCTTCAACGCGCAGGGCCTGCTCGCCTTGGAAGACATCGTCGCCCTGAGTGGTATCGCTCCGACGGCCGACGAGGCCGCTGCGGCCGCTGTGCTGCGCGCGGAGCTGGCGGAGAATCCTTCGGTCGAGAGCAGCCTCTCGGAGGCGGAGCGTTTTGCGGTGCGCATGTCCGAGATTGACCACCTCGATCGCAAGCTCAAGGTGCTCTCCCTGATGGCGCTCTTCCAACAGCTGGCTCTGGCCGTCCGCGCGAACGTGGACAGCTTGCGGACCGCGGCGGAGCAGGTCCTCCAGTCGCCAATGCTACGCCGGTGCCTTCAACTCTGCCTACAGGTCGGGAACGTCCTCAATGGAGGCACAGCTCGCGGCAATGCGCGCGGCTTCCGCCTCGACGTCCTCCCGTCGCTCTCTGCCGTCAAGTCCTCCGTCGATCCGCAGTATTCACTGATGAACTTCGTCGCGGAGCTCATGCAGCGCAAGGCCTCGGAGGCACTGCCCGATGGCGAGGGTGGCGACGCCATTGACCTGCTATCGACGGAGCTCTCTGGGACCGCCAGCTTTCACACCGACACGGGCAGTGGCGGTGCGAAGGATTGGATCAGATCGATCGATGACCAGATTGCGCACATCAAGGCCACGCTCGTCCTGGCAAAGGCCGAGCTGGCCCTGCTCCCGCCGTGCCCGGCGGCGCCAGCCTTGGCGAAGGGCTACCCTCAGTTGCGTGCCTATGACCAGAGCCGCCTCCTCCTTTCGGTAGCCACAGACGAGGTGGCGTCCGTGTGGTGGGTGCTCTTGCCCGGCTGGAGACAGGAGCCCAACTTCCACTCATGGGGCAAGAAGCAGCGCGCCCCGAGGGCGGAGCAGGTGAAGCGTGGGGTGGGAGCCGACGGACAGCCAGCCCTGGCAGCTGGCTGCCTGGTGTCAGAGGCGGCTGGGCAGGAGCACCACGTGCTCATTGCCATTCGGCGGCCTATCGCGACGTCCTTCACCGTGTACGCGGTTGTCGAGGACTCCTTTGGGTGGGAGACGGCTGAAAGTGGCCCGGCTGCGAGCGCCCCACCGAGGCTCCCCGGCGCGGGGCCGGAGCTGAGCGAGCCGTGGCGGGTGGTGGCAGAGGCGCGCATATCGGGCAGACGCGCCGCGACCGATCTCGCGAGCTCGCCCGCTCGGTCTCCTGCCGCGCCTGCTGCTGTCGAGGAAGCGTGCGCGCAGGCGAGCCCTGCGAGCGTGCGCAGCACAAACTCGACCCGCTCCTCGCAACTCAGCTGCCCCACCTCGCCGCACGTCACCGAGATGATCAGCGACGAGCAGCCGCCTCCCGACGCCGTGGAGTCGTGCCCTGGCGCGCTCAGCTGCGTGAGACGCTCCACACCTGGGACAGTCCGGCTGGGCGACGCGTCCGTCGTGCGGCGATCGGCGGCGAACGCTGGCGACGTAGTAGCGCTGCTGAGGAGACTCGATCTTCTCGGACTGCTCCGCACGCCCCTCCTGCAGCCGCTCGATAGCAAGCTGGCCGGGTCCACGGCCGCCTATTCGCTCAACATACGTGCGTGGCGGGTGCTGCGAGCGAGCGTCGGGAATCTGCCCCGCGCTTGGCGGGAGGTGGAGCGGCAGTCGGTAGAGCAGCCGCATGCGCCTGGCACAGGTGTCACCAAAGGCCATATCGACGGTCTCTACGCTCGTTTCCTGCTCGACGCCTTTGTGGCCGAGGTGCAGAGCGAGTGCAATACAGTCGAGGAGCACTTTTCGGACACGCAGGAGCAGTTGCGCCGCGCTGCTGAGTACCTCGGGCACGCACACCCGTCGCAGACAGCGTCGGACCACGTCGCCATGCTGTCCACCGTCCGCGCCTTTGTGGTCTCGCTCGCAAAGTCGCGGGACCAAAACGTGGCGCGTGAGCGCCTGCGGGCGCAGACGGAGGTACGCGGGATGCAAGAGAGGCTGCGGGCCGCGAGAGTCTTGGCGAGCGACAGGCCTGCTCGCGGACGGCCTGCTGCAGAAGGGAAGGGCAGTGGACAGCCGCGCGACGATGATGGCGCAAGCGCCGGGAGGGGTGATGAGCCGGCAGCTGCGAACGGCCCGACGTCATCACCCCAAGCAGCGTCTCCAGTGGCAGTGCGCTACGAGGATGCACCGGAGGACTACTTTTGAGTATACGTTACAGTGCATGGAACACGCGTGGGGGGCCTGACGCGCCGCCACCGGCCAGCTCCTGTGGGTCACTCTCACTGTGGCGCGAGGGCCCCGGCGAAGCGCGTGTTCATTTTATAGGGTCTCTTATTTGCAACATGCACATCCAATTTACACCGCTCCCACCCCGACCATGGGACTCACACGGGTCGGCGCCTTTCGTCATATGTGCTCGATGCACGATCCTCGACTACGTACTGACTAGAGCCGGAGCCCCGTTCATGGATCCGGGACGAGCCTCGCCCGCTGAGGGCGCGGTGCTGGCCAAATCGGGCGGTCGGCGTCGGCCACGGACGCCCTAGTCGACGTCGGAAGGCGCTTCGTCATCGCCGAGGTCGCGGAGCTGCGCCGCGGTCGTGTCGGCGCTCGACGGAACTGCTGCGTCGTCGCCCGCGCTCTCCGCCGCCTCCTGCCTTGCGGCCTGCCCCGCCTCCTGCCTTGCGGCCTCCCACTCCGCCCGCCTCGCTGCCTCCCACTCCGCCTGCCCCGCTGCCTGCCCCGCTCCCTCCTCCGCCTCCGCCTCCGCCGTATCGTCAGTCTCTCCCAGCGCCTCCGCCCCGCCCGCCTCCGCCTCCGCGCCGCCCTCCACCTCCGCGCCGCCCTCCGCCTCTGGCAGCGCCTCGACGAGCACGGCCAGCGCGTTGCGCCGCAGCCACGGAGGGGTGAGCGGCGCGTCGTACTGCAGCACCTACGGCAGCCGTCGCGGAAACGTTGCGGACTCGTCGCGGGCGTCGGTGATCTCGTCTTCCGCGGACCGAGAAAGCACCGCGCCGGGCCTCGTCCGCCAGGCTCACGCCGGCGGAAGAGAGGCGGCCGAGCAGCGCCTGCCGCTGCCGCTCCACCTCCTGCGCCGTCGCCACGCCCGGGAAGTCCGCCACCGCGAGCAGCTGCAGCGGCGCCTGCTCGAGCCGGAGCGAGGTCGCGGTCGGCGGCGGCGCGGTGGCGGCGGAATACTTGAGCGGAAGGGCGAAGCTGAGCTTGGAGCCCGCCCGGTCTGAGTCGGACGCGTCCGAGCCGGACCCGTCTGGGCCCGCAGCGACGTCGATGCGTGCTGGCGCGCTCCCGCCGAGCAGCTCGGCGCGCCCGTTCGCGCCGAGCAGGTAGGCGGTGAGGGCCGAGAAGGCGGAGCCGCCCTCGCGGACTTGCGCGGCGAGGTCGGCGCCTGGGGTGTGAGGAGAGGGTGAGGTGTGAAGAGAGAGGTGTGAAGAGAGGGTGAGGTGTGAAGAGAGAGGTGTGAAGAGAGAGACGGAGAGGGAACAGCGCCTCTCCACAGACCGTCACGCCTCGCTCGCGCCTCGCCGCATCTCGGCTACGTCTCGGTGGGCGCCGGGGGAGAGGCCCATGTCGACGGCGACGACGCCGTGCGAGGCGTACTCACGCACCGCGAACCCCTCCTCCTCCCTCACCACCCGGTACGCCGGCTTCTCCGCAGCCTCCTCCGCAAGCGCCGCCGCACGGCCAGGCTCGGCGAGGAGGGACGCGACTGCGCCGGGGCCGTGCTCGAGCGCAGCGCCCGCGGCGTCGGTGGCGGCGCGCTGCAGCGCCTCAGGGCCGTCCCCCTCGAGCAGCGAGGGCACCTGCTGCAGCAGATCAGACCCCTGCCTCCGCACGCTGTCCAGGTCGCGCGCCGCCGACTCGGTGAGCAGCGAGTCGACTCGGCCGCTAGAGACTTCGGTGGCGATCTCGGCGCCGCGTGCGAGCAGGTCGCGGGCGAGGATGCCGCGGTCCTCCGCCGGTGTCTCTGGCGACAGCAGCCGCTCAATCTGCTCCTTCCACGACAGAGGCTCCGCTTCATTTCGAAGCGCCGGTGTGGCAGAGCGACGCTGCCAAGGCGTCGATGTCGCGCGGCCGAACGAGTGCAGCCGGAAGGCGGCGGATGGCGAGCAAAGAAGCAGCAGGAGCGCGTAGAGCGAGGCCATGTGCATCCCTCGTGAAGAGAACGCGCGGATTCCAGCCCCAGCGGGGCCGGGGCTTTTTCTTTTCAGGCTCCTTGCCGTGGGGGTCTGCTGCCTGGCCAGCCCCTGCCGAACCCGCTCGTGGGTTGGCACGGCCTGTTTAGCCGCGCTTCTCCCGCGCGCGCTACTCGCTCGTGGCCGCACCAATGCCTGACCCTCCCCAAAGCTGCTGCGAGCCCGGAGCCTTGGAGCTCCATTCTGTCTGGCAACTCTTCGAGTTTCCCTGAGTCTGAGAGCTGGTCTCCGGGCAAAATCTGAGGCGAAACCGAGGAAACCGGCAAACTACCCGGGTATTTTCCAGGTATACCCGGGGTTTCCAGGTGTACCCGCAAAATACCCCGGTATTTTGCCGATTTGGCTGATTTGGGGCCCAAACAAACCAGCTGATTTCCACGGAGTTTCCCCGGGAAACTAAAGAGGAAACGAGAGGTTGCTGTAGAGAAACACGGACGGAAAGGAAACGAGACGGGGTGGGCGAGGAAACATGCATGCAGCCTAACCCCCCCCGCGGCCTCTTGCATTGAGCAAATTCTTCTCGAGATCGCTCTTCGAAGCTGTGAGACGTCCTTTCGTGATGGCCCTTTGGATCGCTTTTTCGCACAGACAGCCGGTGCGCCGTGCGTGTGAGGCTAGAGCAGACTGCTCCGCCTCCAGCAATCCCGCACCGTCTGCTTTCATGGGTGCGTCGCTTTGGTTCAATGCTCAGCCCCTGTCATTGCCGCTAATCCACTTGCCGGTCGACGCGTGCGGGGTTTTGCTGCCCGGCGAGTCAAGGCGGATACTCATCGAGAGGGAGGATGATCTGGCAGCGCTGAACGAGATGCAGTTTGCTTGCGTCGGCGTTCTTCCCACCACGCCGCATTGCGCTCGCGTGTCCACGCTGCTGAACGTGCGCGAGACGCGGCGGCAAGAGGTGGGCGCCTTGATCGAGGTCGTTTCGGTGGGAAGAATTCACGCAAGCCAGATCGAGCACGATCGCTGCTTCACTGCGCATGCGAGGCCGGCGTTTGACGGCCGCGCCGAGCCGGACATCGACATCCGAAAGCTCGTCGCCGAACTCCGCTCCACAGCCGAGCAGCACGATACCATCCGGCGGAAGCTCAGATCGACGCCTCTTCCTGTCAGAATCCCCGGCTCCTTCCTCAGCGACGAGGTAGGGACGCTGAGCGGGATGGTGGTCCCGACGGGACGCGGTACGCACCCGGGCTCGTGGCTGGAGCAGGAGTGCGCCCGGATGCGCGAGGAGCTCTGCGTGACGGATCTGGACGCAGCCCCAGCCGCCTCGCTCGAGCGGCTCCATGCGCTATGGGGCGTGCCGGACGAGGAATCTGCCGAGCTGCTGCTGCTCTCCTTCGCCGCGTGCGCTTCGCTCACCGCCACGCAGCGCGCCCTCGCCTGTGGCACGCTCGACACGGCCGAGCGCTTGCGGTATGCGCGCCGCTGCCTGCTCGAAGGCACGAAGCGCATGGTGGCACAGGCGGCCATCCGTGACGCACTCGAGGGAGTCTTGTAATGTTTATCAACAGACCCCAAGGGAGGGATGGGAGGACGGACGGGTGATCGTTTTCTTTAGCCGTGCGAGGGAGTTTTGTTGTAAAATTCTTTAGCCTCTCTGTGCGTTTCTTCTGTTATAACAGATTCTCAAAACAGTTACCGGCGGGCTCGCCTCATATATGCGTGTATCCCAAGTTTCTCCGAGACCTCGCGAGCGGGCAGTTATTCGCAGCTGGGCATTGCGGGCTGGGCCGGGCAGGGCAGTGTGGGTACACTGGGTTTCCCACACGGCAGGGGCAGGTGGAATCGCGGTTTATGTTGTGCGGCAGCGTGCAGGGTTCGGACTTTTTGCGGGGTATGGTAGCATCACGCAACCCACCTCGAGACCATACCCCCCCCCGCCTGCTGACAGACCCAGCCTCCCGCCGAGGGGACCATACCCCCCCCCCCCCACCCGCCCCCCCCCTCGCCCCGGAGACCGCGCGCCGGGCGCCTTACTGCTAGGAGGCTCCCAGGAGGGGCTGCAGACACCGACACGCACACTAGATACGCGCGGATGGCCGCCGTCTTCCACAGCACCGAGCGGCGGCGAAGTTGGCAATCGCCTGGCGAGCGGCGGGCGCGGCACCCGCGCCGGTCGCCGCACCCGCACCAGCTCCAGCAGGCGCCGCGCTGGCCGTCCCCGCGCGGGCGGCTCCGATGGCCGCCGCGCCGGCCGCCCCGCGGGCCACCGCACTGGCGAGGTCCTCCATCGGCATGCGGGTGCCCCTCCGGTGGGTGCCCCCGCTGCTGGTCGCCTCGAGCGGGGGTTGGCCGGCTGCGCCAGCGGCGCAATCTCGGGGGACTTGTAGTACATCCCGAACTCGGCGACGAGGGAGTGTTCCTCGGGCTCGTCCGCGATGGTGCCCCCGGGGCAGCCGAGAGCGTGGAGCAGCTGCAGCAGCTCCGCGACAGGCGCGTGCTCCTACCTCATGGCGCTGCGTGCGGGCGGGCTCGGCGGGGCGGCAGACCAGTAGAGGGAGGGGCCGAGGGACCATACTCCCCCACCCCTGTCGAGGGCTAGTCTTGGGCGGTCAATACCACCCTTTGGCCGTGCGTCCCATACCATACCCAGCAAAAAGTTGCAACCCAGTTTGCTTCCACCCGAGGTTCGGTGGCCGCGAAGGCCCGTAGGCGCCTCCCCAGACGGCGTGCTCCCTTACCATCCTCTTCAATGCCAAAGCGCGACCGCGAGCACTGGGGCTCACTCGTGCCGCATAACTCCCTGTGTGGCCGCCGTCCCGTCCCACTCTGCAGCCCAACTATCGTGATTGGCAAGGACGGCGACGTCACAGCGCCGCACAACCCGCACCTCTCCAAGCACCACATCAGACTGGAGCGAGTGGATGACGGCAGCGTCTACGCGACGCACCTATCCGCCCTCAACGACACCTGGCTCAACGGCGCCAAGCTCGAGCGCGACCGGCGGACCCTCGTCGTGCCGTGCGCGGGCAACGCGCCGTTCAGCCTGAGAGGCGAGGCGCCTGACGCGCCGCTCCTCTTCGTCAGCGTCCCGCACGCCGAGGCGGGACGCGCGGGTGTCCAGGACAAGAAGCTCAATGGCTGGTGCGGGTGGTCCTTGCGCCTCCTCCCCGCGGGCAACAAAAATGCCGCTCCCGCCGGATCCTCCGCTGCGCCTTCCGCGGAGCCGCATCGAAGCGGAGCGCTCGCTATCTCGTCGAGAGACGGCGGCCATGCGGCGGTGGTGGAAACGGAGCCCGCAGGGGCGGCGCTGGCTTTGGCGGTGGCGGCGACGGTAGCGGCGGAGGCGGAGGCGGAGGTGGAGGCGGAGGCGGAGGCGGCGGAGGCACAGGCGGCGGAGGCGGAGTGGTGCTCGGAGGAGCCGCGCACGAGGCAGACAATTTTTCGTGGCGTGCGGCTGCTGGTGGCGACGCGGCTGTGCAAGCAGGTGCAGGAGGGGGTGGTGCGGCGCGGCGGCGGAGAGGTGGTGGGTGGCGTCCAGGAGGCGACGCACGTTACACTCGAGTGTCATCGCCGCGCCGAGGAGCTGCTGTCCCTGAAGACCATCCCGCGGGACGAGTGGCCGCGCCTCGTCACGCAGGAGTGGGTCGGGCAGTGCTCCAAGGTCCTCTCGGCCGACGGCACGCGGACTGGCGTGCTCCGCAAGCACCTGCACCCCGACGCGGTTGCGGCTCTGGCCGAGGGCGGGGCAGCTGCCGTCCACGTCCGTGACCGTCCACCGCACGTCCGTAGGTGGAGCGCCGCGAGCCCCCCTCGCCCGCCTCGCCTGCCAGTTCTCCGCCTTTTCTGCCGGACCCGCGTCCGGCGGTCGCGCATCCAGCGGACCCGCCGGCAGCAGCCGTAGACTCGGGTCGCGAGGGCGGCAGTGGCGGCGGCAGCGACGACCCGAACGAGGTGGCAATTATCGACGGCAGGGAGCATCGCTGGGTCCCGGCAGCCTCGGGCGCGCCGGAGTCTCGGCTGTGGCCAGGCGGCTTTACGCGGCTCACAGAGTTCCGGAATTGCGCCGGGCTCGAGTGGGTGCTGCGGGGTCGGGACGACACCTCAGCGCGGCGAATTCCTCGGCTGATGCCGTGGGAAGGGCCGGACAGTGAGAGGCAGGCCGCCGCTCGGGAGCGGGCGCGCAGTTTCGGCTGCTTCCGCGCCGCCGCTGCCCCCAACGCCGCGGCCGACCCTGCCGTCGCCTCCGCCGCCGTCACCGCCGCCGCGCGGGTGAGAGCGTGGAATGCGCGGGTAGCTGAGCCTTTGTGGCGGATGGCCGGCTTCATCAGGGTGGAGGAGGAGGGCAAGACACTGGAGTATCACGCGCTTGCCTACGAGAACGCGGCGCGCGCAGTCGAGCGGTCCCTCGTGGCTGTGACGAGTGGCGAGGAGATGGCGAGGCGGGGCGGGTACGCCATCAAGTCGGGCTCGGGAATGGAGGCGCACATCAACGAGATCCTCGACTCGCTCGGTGGGACGGACGCTGCGGAGGCTGCTGTCGCCGGCGGCGAGGATGGAGAGGGTGGCAGCGACGGCGGTGGCGGCGGCGGCGGCGGAGGTGGCGGCAGCTTCCCCAGGCTCAGCGAAAAGCTGCGCTCGCCGCACGCAAGGCAATGGGAGGCGGTGGCGGAGTTGATTACCGTTAAGTGGGTCGGCCGCGGCTTGGCCCAGCGGCTGTGGAAGGCGGGCGCGACGGGCCTCGCCTCATTGCAAGAGCAGTATCGCCGCGACTACCAGGCGTGGGAGCGCAGCAGCGGCGGCGGCGGCGGCGGCGGCGGCGGCGGTGCGGCGGCGGGCGCTGTGATGGGCGTGCTCAAGAACTCCGAGGCGGCTCGCGTTTGCTTGCACTTCCACGACGACATCGCGCAGCGCATACCGCGGGCGGAGGCGGAGGCGTGCGTCGCGCTGCTCAAGCGCGCGTGTGCTGCCGTGTACGGGGAGAACGCCGTTGAGGTGTGGGGGCCGTGCGGATCCTACCGCCGCGGCGCCGCGTCCTCGCACGACCTCGACGTCATCATCGTCCGCGCGTCGTGTGGCGGCGGCGGCGGCGACAGCGGCGGCGACAGCGGCTGCGGCGGCTATCGGACGTGGCTCGACGAGTCCGAGGAGGACGGCGGCGGAGCGGTGCCGCTGCTGCCGCTGCTCGAGCACTTGGAGAAGCGCGGCTTCCTCGCCGCCCATCTGCAGGTACCTTGGTCGAACAACGAGGTGCCCGGCCGCAAGGCTGCGCACAGCGCCCCGCCGCCGGCAAAGCACCGGCGGGGTGATGTCGGCTACGCCGTTGCCGCAGAGAGCAAGGGCGACGGCAGGAAGGCGCGGCGCGCCGAGCGCCCGCAGACCTACATGGGCGTGCTGCAGCCGAAGGGCGCGGCGGACGGCGGCGGCGGCGGCAGCGGCGGTGTGGCGCGCCGCATCGACATCAAGTCCTACGCCCGGTGCCAGCTGCCCTTCGCGCTCATCTACTTCACCGGCGGCACGCATTTCAATCGCTCCTTGCGCCTCCTCGCAAAGGAGCTCGGCTACACGCTGTCCGACCAGGGGCTCGCGCAGTGCAAGCGCAGCGGCGACAACAACTCCGGGCCGCGCGTGTGGACAGGCCCGTCGCTCGCGGCGGCCACCGAGGAAGAGGTGTTCGCCGCGCTCGGCGTGCCCTACTGCGCGCCCGAGTGCCGCGACGACGCCCGCCTCGCCGCGCTCGGACCGATGCCGTCGCCGGCGGCCGAGCCCGAGCCGGAGGATGCAGACAGCGGCGACGAGCTCGAACGGTACGAGGTGTAAACTTATTTAAGAGTCTTGTCGCTCTCATCTCCTCTCTCGCCTATCTCTGCGCTCTGCCTGAGGCCTCTCTGCACTGGGAGCATCGGGTCATGTCGGTCAGCTGTGTGCGTGTCTCGGGGTGTGCGTGTGGCGCATCGCGCGATCCGAGAGGCAATAATTTTCTACGTCTACCATTACGCGCCCCCGCCCTCGCGGCGGCCGGGGAAACGAAGCGCCTTTGTTTTTGAGCGTCGCTCGCCGCGTCAAGCCGCGTGTCTAGCGACAGCCGCCTGCCACGCAATGCCGCCTGTCGACTTGCAGCGGTAATGGTCCGTGCGGTTTACAACCCGCAAGCCGGGCAGCGGCACCCCGGCCGGCGAGGCCAGCTGCGAGGCCCACACCAGCGGCGTCAGCGGGGTCGCCCCGTCGGTGAGGGTCCGCCGGCCCACGTCAATGATGGGGCCGCCCTCCTCCTCCTCCGCGCCGCCCTCCGCCCGCGCCCAAGTAACGGCGAACACCTCGTGGTCCTGAGACAGCAGCGTGGGGCCAATGTCACCAATGCACTCCGCGGCTCGTGCGGATGCGAAGTTCACGGGTGATGGCGACAGCGTGAATGGAATCGATGCGGCCCGTGCCGGGCTGCTGCTACCAGAGGCAGCTCCCCCATCTAGACGCGTGGTCCTCCATCGCCGCGCCCGGCCCGCCGTTCACGCCCTCGCACTCACCGCCCCGAGGAGCGCTGTGGTTGAAGCCGCAGCCGCGCTCGGGGTCGAACTCGCCGCACAAGCCCTCGTCGGGCTGCTTGCTGCCCGGGGGCACGTTCACGAACGCCCACCGGCCTCCGCCGCCGCCTCCTCCGCCGCCCCCTCCGCCGCCGCCTCCGCCGCCCCGGCCGTCGCCCTCAGGAAGGAAGACCTCCACCCAGTTGTGGTTGTTGAGGAAGCGGCCGCCTACACGCAACAGGCGGCTCCGGCGTTGCCCGATCGCCCAGGCACGTGTTCCTGCGCGTCCAGCGCGGCCGCCGTGGCCCGCGCCGCGCGAGCCGCCGCCCCAGCAGAGCGAGACGTTCGGGTTGTCCGCCGCTCGGCCGCGGTAGTCGACGCCGCCGTAGACGCTGTTCCAGCACGGCGTGCCGACCTGCGGCGGATCAGGCGTCAAGGAGGGAGCGTCTCAGGAGCGTCTCTGGGAGGGGGTGGTGGAGTGTCTGTGCAGTGTGTGGATCAGGTGCGAGCTCCTGTCGCGCAGGGACACCGACGGCCCGAGCGACATACGTGACGAAGGTCGCCCACGCCGAGCAGGAGCCGTAGCCTGGCAGCGGGCACGTGTGTGCGGTGCTGGCGCGGGATGGAGGGAGGGGGCAAGGGCGGTGGCAGGGCGGGCGTGGCGCGCCGTAGGCTACAAAGTCGAAAGGGGAGACGACGGGTGGCGCCGTGCTCGACGACCTGTGGTCAGGGCCAGGGCCAGGATGTGCGGAGAGCGAGGGGCGTTGGTGTCGGGTGGGCGGCGGGGCTTGGGTGCGGGTGCTGCGGTACCAGGCCATGCGGTAGGCGGAGGAGGGCTGTCGAGGGGAGGAGGGCCAGACATGCGCCGCCCAGTCGACAAAGAGATTGGGCGCGATCAGCCGGCCGAGCGCCTCTCCAACGCTCGTCGCGTTGGCCACGAGCGCAAAGAACTTGGCGAAGAAGAGCGGGCGGTGGTTCTGCCGGCTCTCGCGATACCTGAGGCGGACACTCATTCTTGTTTGGCACCTGCACCTGTGCCTGTTGTGTCATGCACGTGGCGAGCGGGCGGCTCGCACCCGGCGTAGGGGAGGAGGTAGGTGAGTTTGGTGGCGAGCGGGACGGACGCTGACCACGGTGCCGCGCGGTCCGCCATGAGCGAGAAGGCGATGACGTCGTCCAGCATCGATGTCGCGTTGACGGTGACCGAGTTTGGTAGAAAATGCAGATCGAATTCGGGCATGTGCTCCAGCAGCCACGCCTTGGCAGTGCACCAGTCGAGCGATTGCGCTCGGCTGACCGATTTCCGCCAGTCGACTAGCTGCGGGTCGAAGCAGGTCACGTTGCGAAGTGGCGGCGAGAGTGTGACGTCGCAGCGGCACAGAAGTTGCTGCTCTGTGATCCACCGCGGGTAGGCGTAGGCGTCGTGGCCCAATCCGGCGATCCAGTCAGTCCAGCGTGCAGAAGCGAGCGGCATGGCAAACGCCAAGGTTTAGACGCACTGTCGCAGGGTTCCCTCGTGGCCACGGCGCCGCAGGCGCCTGTTGATGGGTCCAGGTGATAGCCCTGGATAGGCAATGCATACGCCTAGTTGGGCCTCAGATCGCCCGACCGCGTCCCGGTGCTCTGCTCTGCTCTGTGGTCGGATTTGTGACGCCGCCGCACCGCGCCGCGGCCAGGGAGGGGCCCGGAGGCTGAGGATGGCCGTGGCGGACCGGGACGAGCTCTGGGAGGTTCAGTGTCAGTGTATACATTGTAGAGACTGACCATGTGCACAATATCTCTCAGTCTAGCTAAGCCAGGGGAGGCGATTCCGGGGCCGTACAGCAGCTTGATGGTGCTTCGCCGGCGTGCGTCCCGGAGCGGTCCCGGTTGGGCGGTCCGGGGGAGAAAACTCAGGACAACGCCGACACCGCTCTGATTCGACTTTTTACTTCAAACAAAGACAGTGGCACGCGCCGCGGCGCGGTGCATGCCACTGTCAGGAGCGGATCCGTCAGTTAGTTGTATTCACGCCGGGATCGTGTCCTGAGTAACTTGCCCAACCATTCCTCCGGCAGAGTAGCCAGATAGGGGGTTCCCGCCCATGCAATAGGTAGGTAGGTCCGGTTTTGACCGCCCCAGAGGGCCCCGCAATAGGTAGGTAGGTGGTGGTGGTGAGGGGGGGGGGGGGGGGGAATCGCTCGCGCGGGAGACTCTGTCGAGGGAAGAGAGTGCCGTTTTGGAGCCGTCCAACGCCTCGAGAGCCCAGTAGGCCATGCTCTGGCGGGCTCGCGAGCGGCGCGCACCGCGGTACAAGCCGGCGCGCGGCGGGCGCTGGGAGCCTATTCACAGAGGGCTAACGGGCTTTTTTTCGCTTCGCTGCGCGGCCTGGGAATAGGTAGGTAGGTGGGGCACGGAGCCTGGCGATTGGCGCCCGCAATAGGTAGGTAGGTAGGGCGTTTTGGTGCGAGTCATAGGCAACAGACCCCCTATCTGGCTAGGAGCCGGAACCCAGGAGGGAGTAGCTCGATGAGCGAAAAAAGAATTTTGAGCAAAGAATTTGCACACACACCGACACTAGGCACGGGACTGGCGCGCACTGGCACTAACCCAGGTACACCACGGGAGCCGCCTAAGCGACTCCGAAAAAAGAATGTGGATCCGTGGCACGGGACTGGCGCGCACTGGCACTAACACACACAGGTACACCACCAACGTCCCAAGAAGAAACTCGAGAGACGCCTCTCCTCCTCCTCCCATCCCTCGTTTGGCTTGTCTGTCGGCTCATTTCTTTTTCTACAGCACACACTGGCAAGACAAGAAGAGACAAGGGCGTGGACTGGCGCACACTACAGAAATAAAAGAGAGCGCCGGAGCCGAACGGAAACGAATGGCGCGAAGCACCGTGACTAGGTGTTCTTCGCCTCCTTCCTTACTTACAACAAATCTTGGTCAGCGCATAGCGGGCAAAACAAACCGAGAGACGTCTCACACCAATGGACACGCACACCACAATCTGCCTAGAATCTCCTTTTCCCAACCTCAAACAACAAGAGAATGATGTACAAGTGCAGCTCACGAACAGGCCACATGATCGTGTCCAGGTGTGCAAGCCAAAAGCACGCTGCACGCCCGCACTGCGCACATCACCGCCCGGGGGGGGGGGGGGGGGGGGTCCACCACGCCATATCGTCCATTGCCACGGTGGCCACGCACCAGTGCACGCTACGCTAAAGGTGCCAGGTATCGTTGCACGTGCCACGGCGCAGAAGAACGCGAAAATTGAAAAGGTGAAAGCACAAAATTGCCGAGCGAGAAGACGGCTCCGAGTCGCTCACGGAGGAGTCACACGGCTTCGCCTCAGGCCCCGGGACCTTGGTTGTGGAGAGGAAGAGAGCGCATCTCTAGTGGTAGCAGAAGTAGCAGCTGCCACAAAGCTGGGTTTTGGGGCAGTGCTTGTCGGGGTTGTTCTTGCACCACGGCATGCACACGTTTGCCGGCGGCGGTGGCGGCCCGCAGGGGTCGCAGTACTCGAGCGTGCCGCACGCGATGCGGCCGCCGTCGTACCCGTGCACCACAAAGGCCTTGCCGAGCACATCGAGCGAGGTGCCGCCCGTGACGGCGGACAGCTTCCCCTCCGCGTTGCCGTTGGTGGAGGAGACGTAGGAGAGGCTCTTCTCCGTCCACGGGTCGGCGAAGCCGTTCGTGGCGTAGTGCCCGCCAACCTGGCTGGCGGCCTCGCACGAGGAGCCCGAGTGGATGTGAAGGCCACACGAGTTGCCGAACGAGGCGTTGTACCCGCCAGCGCAGCCTGTACGTGGCGCGGACGGAGAATGGGCTGGACGAGGGCCCGGGCGAGGGCGAGGGCGAGGGTGCGGGCGCGGGCGAAGGCGATGGCGCGGGCGCGGGCGCGGGCGCAGTCGCGGTCGCGGGCTGCGCGCGGTTTGCCGAGGTCGAGGCCCTTGAGCGTATAGTCGAAGTACTGCGTGGTCTTGTCCACTGTAACCATCGTGATGACACCCGTCGCGTCGGGGAAGGCGCCGTAGTAGCCGGGGTAGGTGGCAAAATTGGTCACGCACAGCGGGTCCACCACGGGCTCCATCAGCGCGCACGCGATGCGCCCGCCATTTGCGTCGTGGACGACAAAGGCCCGGCCCAGCAGGTCGCTCGTAGTCGCGCCCGTGTCGGCGTCGAAGCTGCCCGAGGCGGTTCCCTCGGTCGTGCTGTAAAACGCGACGTAATCCTCGCCCATGCCGCCGTCGGACCACGGGTCGGCCGCGGGGGATTGGTAATAGTGCCCCCCGACCTCGGAGGCGCTGGAGCAGGTGAAGCCAGAGTGGATGTGGATGCCGCACGCGTTGCCGGAGAGTTCGAGTGGGTCGGTGCCGTTGCAGCCCGTGTCGAGGCCCGACAGATCGTAGACGAAGGTCTGTGGGTAGGGAGGCGTGGGGATGTGATCGGAGCCACGGACAGCAATGGGAAGGGCGGGGCGACGGCTCGGGAAGCAGGCCTGCACGCCATCCCCGTCCGAGTAAAGGGAGACTTTGCCAGTGACCGACGAGAAGGGGCCCCCGTAGCCCGGGTAGGGGCCGAACTTGACGGTGGCGAGCTCGATCTTGGGGCCGCACTGGGCGCCGAGGTGAATGGCGGGAGCGATTGAGAGCATGTTGTCGCGGACGTACGTAGTTGTGCTGGGCTGTGGCAGGCTGCAACCTGGTCGGCCCGAACTAAGGGCAAATTCCGGGCCGAAACGCATTGAACTGGCGACTGATCTCGGCAATCATATCTAAAGTCGAGCGCCGGCTGCGTCTGCGCCCGCTGACTGCAGCAGCCTCGATCTGGATGATCTGTTGAGTCATCCCTCCCTGGCGTGGACGATTTTTTTCGCGGTATCCGCGGCGGGATATGGCGGGATGTGGCGGGATGTGGCGGGATGCCGGGAGATACCGGGAGATACCGGGAGATACCGGGAGATACCAGGGAGACGGGCAGATACGGGCGGATACGGGGAGATACCGAGATGCGGGGAGATGCGAGGAGATGCAAGGATATGCAAGGAGATACGGGGAGATACAGTCAGATATTGGAGAGATACATCAAGATACCGCAAAAAATCGTCCGCACCAGGCGCAGGGCTTGAGTCTCCCCCCTCGGCCTATAAAGAAAGAGCTTGCGGCAGGCTCGGCTGTGTGTGTGTCAGTCAGGGCATAGAGGTGCGCTGTGGTGGGGACGTGTCTGTCCTTCCCCCAGCCCTAGCATGGCCGCGGATGCGGACGGTGCACTGCAGGAGGACTCCTTGCAAAACCGCAAGACCCGAAGACGATTTTTTTGTCTTCGCCGAGGGCAACCAAGCAGGGGAGAAAAAAAGCAGCTGTTCCTGTACCACCCCCGAGACCGTCAGCAGCTGGAGCGTGGAGGTCCGATTTCCCAACAGCGGTTTCTCAACATTCGCGCTCCCCTTGTAGCCCCGGGCAGCCTGGCACAGGGCCGAGCGTTTTTGATCTCTGGGTGAGTGGGGGGCCGAGCCGCCTCGGGGTGGCGGGCGGGCGGGCGTTTTGAAAAACAGAAAACAGAAAACAGAGGGGGGCCCATGGCCCACACTACGTAGACGCACGCACCAGACGCCGCACCTGGCTCCTGGGACAAGGCGAGAATCGCAGCACATGCAGATCAGCGGAGAGGGGGGGGGGGGGCGACGTCCCGACACGGCAGGTTGGAGCTGACCCGGGAGAGAGAGAGAGAGAACAGCGATGGCGCCCCCATATGACCGTAGACAGAAATGACGAGCCGACAGCGATGCAGCGGCAGCGAAGGCGGCGAGGAGGGCCCGCCGCAGAGCTCCGCCGGGCGGCACAGCAGAGACATCGGCGGACGGGGGAGCACGGGACACGTCGGCATAGGAGCCAGGGTGGGAGAGTTGAGTCAGATGCAACAGCACCGTCTCGGCAGCGAGGCCCATGATGGCGACGGCGGCGACGTAGGCGAGGGTGGCGGCGGTCACGATGAATGTTGCTTGACGAAATGGATGACGCCGTCGCGCAACATGACATCCTCGATGTCGTCTCGTCCTCGAACCGGTTGAGCTCCTTCATCATGAATGCCGTCGCCAGCTTCTTTGCGGCGCTGCGCGGGTGCGTGCGCCCATTCGCCTCTGATAGTATCGGTTGTTACACGTTTTGGGATGCCGTTTGGGGTTACTCACGACCCGCACGAAAAAACGACGACCCGCATGCCGTTTGGGGTTACTCACGACCCGCAGCGCCGCTCTCGCAGGCTGTTTTTGACGGCTTCTCGATTTTGTTTTGTTTTCAGTCTAGGGGGCCCCTCAGCCCTCACGTCAGAGGCGGCGGGCGGGCGCCCACTCACCCAGAGATAAAAAACGCTCGGCCCAGCCGGGCCAACCCGCGCTGACGCTGAGCGTCTGTCTGTCGCTTGTAGCAGCATCCGCATACACACAACGTTCTCTCACACACACCTTACGGCCCTTGCACCCACGCCTCGACCTTCTTTGGCAGCAGCTGGTTCGACAGGTCCTCTCCGTGGCCTAGACAGCCGCGCTCGCCCTGGCCCCAGGTAAAGGCGGCGCCGTTGGCGGTGAGGGCGAGGCTGTGGTCCTCTCCCGCCAGCACGGCGACAACGCGCCGCCCAGCAAAGGCCTCGATCTTCTTCGGCAGCTGGTGCTGCTCATCGCCGTGGCCCAGCTTGCCAAAGCTGCCACCGCCCCAGCTCCAGACGGCGCCGTCGGCGGTGATGGCTAGGCTGTGCACGCGTCCAGCCGACACAGCGACGACGCGCTGCCCAGCCAAGGCCTCGACTTTCTTTGGCAGCGGCTGGTTTTGCTGGTCGCCGTGGCCCAGCCGGCCGGCGCCTCCCCAGCCCCAGCTCCAGACGCTGCTGTGGCGGTGAGGGCGATGCTGTGGTACGCTCCCGCCGAGACAGCGACGACGTGATGGCCAGCAAAGGCCTCGATCTTCTTGGGCAGCAGCTGGCACGTTGCCTGCGGATCAAGTGTCAATGGGCCTCAGCGCAGGCGTGTGTGCGCGCGCGCACGCACGCACACACACACACACACACACACACACACAGCTGCTCCTGCTCGTCGCCGTGCCCCAGCTTGCCAAAGCTGCCACCGCCCCAGCTCCAGACGGCGCCGTCGGCGGTGAGGGCGAGGCTGTGCACTCGTCCAGCCGACACAGCCACGACGCGCTGCCCTGGCAGGCCCTCGATCTTCTTCGGCAGCAGCTGCTGCTGCTTGTCGCCGTGGCCCAACTGGCCAAAGTATCCATAGCCCCAGCTCCAGGCGGCGCCATCGGCGGTGAGGGCGATGCTGTACCCGCCTCCTGCCGACACAGCGATGACGCGCTTCCCCGCCAAGGCCTCGATCTTCTTGGGCAGCAGCTGGGCCTGCGCGTCGCCGTGGCCTAGCCGTCCGTGCCAACCTGCGCCCCAGCTCCAGACGGTGCCATCGGCGGTGAGGGCGAGGCTATGCAGATCTCCAGCCGACACACTCACGGCGCGCTCGCCGCCAAGCGACGGGAGGCGCGTCGGCGTGTTGAGCCGCGTCACTCCCTCGCCGTGGCCGAGGATGAGGTTTTGAACGTGAACCGGCGTTGAGCCGCACGACGAGAGCCGCCCCTTGCCGTCGATGAAGAGGCTGTGCTGAACACCTGCCGCCGCCCTCGCCGGCGGGTTGGACTCGCGCAGCAAGGAAGCGCAGCACAGCCACCGCGCGGCGCAGCCCTCGTCCTCTGGCTGCGCCGGCAGCTCGTAATCGCGCTCTTGCGCCCACAAGCGGATGCCTTGCTCCGCGAGTGAGGCGTGGAAGAGCAGCGAGACGGCCGCGGCGCGAGCGATGTCGGCGGGGTCGCAGCGAGAGAGGACGCGGACGAGGAGCTCCGTGGGGAGGTCGAGGAGGCGGGCGGGCGGCGGCGTGCCTGGCGAGGGCGCGGAGGTGGAGGCAGAGGCGAGGCGGCGCGAGCTGTGTCAGCAACCGGAAGGACTTTTTCTTCTGTTCCCATCATCTGCTCAGATCCAATCCAATCTCAAGTACCGATGCCAATACCTTCCCGGTCGGTGAAAAAAAATTCGCCTGTGGGAGTCCACGTTGCGAGGCAGGCAAACATGCAAAGTTGCAAACGGGACGGCCTGCGCAGCCTCTAACTATACTTCCTTTTTGTTCCCATCATGTGCTCAGATCCAATCTCTAGCACCGTTGCCGGTACCTTCCACGGTCGCTGTTGGCGGTAAAAATATTATTTTTCGCCTGCAGTCACGTTGGCGTAGAGGCAAATACAACGCTGACATATATGTCGGCAATCAAGCCCAAGCAGCCCAAGCAGCCCAAGCGCACCGCACCGCACCCAGCGTCGGTCTCGCTCTGCCCTCCGCGCCGGCCGCTGCCGCCTCACGCCCTCGTCCTCGCACCTATGGTCGGCGCGAGTGAGCTCGCCTTCCGCCTCCTCTGTCGCCGTCACGGCGCACAGCTCTGCTACACGCCGATGATGCACTCGTCACGCTTTGCCTCCGACGCGGCCTACCGCGCGGCCGAGCTTTGCACGGCGCAGGGAGACGGCCCGCTGGTCGCACACTTTTGCGGCAACGACGGAGCGACGCTGCTTGCGGCGGCGCGGCTCGCGGAGCGGGCGTCCAATGTGGTGGCTGTCGACCTCAACCTCGGCTGCCCGCAGCGGAGCGCCCACTCGGGCCACTACGGCGCCTTTCTGTGCGCCGACGCTGCTGGCCGCGAGCGGGTGCTCGGGATGGTGTCCACGCTTGCGCACGGGCTCTCGGTGCCCGTGTTTTGCAAGATCCGCCTCCTCGACGAGGGCGAGGCGGAGACGGTCGCCTTCGCACAGGCGCTGGAGCGGGCCGGCTGCGCCCTCCTCGCCGTGCACGGGCGCCTGCGAGGCATCCCTACTGTACAGATGCGGAGGCACACATCGCTGGACGTGGGGAGTGCGGGAGCCTGCCCTCTCTCCCGTAGGCAGCCCGATGCACCGGAGGAGCGGGCCTGCAGACTTGGCGCAGGTGGCTGCGGTCAAGTCGGCGCTCGCCATCCCGGCGCTCGCAAACAACGAAGCACGAATGCGTCGTGCTACTTCTTCACCACTCGCCCTCCCGGCGCAGGTGCTGACCAACGGCAATGTGCGCGGCGCCGGCGGGCTGCTCGCGGAAATCTGCTTCGCCTCCACCTAGGAGCCGTCTCGGAGCCTTCTCGGAAGCTTCTCCTAGGCGAGCTGCTCGCCGCGCTCGCAGCCACCGGCGCCGACGGGGTGATGAGTGCCGAGGGGGCGCTCGACGACCCGGCCATCTTCGGCCGCGCCGCCGCCGCAGCAGCTCGGAGGCGGCGGCGGCTGCGCCGCGTCGTGCGTGCCGCGCAGGGCGCGGAGCCGCCGAGCGCGGGCACGGCCGAGGCGCTCGCTCTGAGGCGGGCGAGGCGGCGGCTGCGGCGGCTGCGGCGGTTGCCTCTGCCCAGAGGGGATGCGG